GAGCAGGGAGCCCGATGCGGGGCTCGATCCCAGCACCCTGGGATCATGACCTGAGCCGAAGGCAGATGCTTAACGACTGAGCCACCGAGGCGCCCCTTTATTATTAATATTATTATTAAAGTATCAAAACATAAACTTGGCCACAGGAAACAAAACTGTTTTTAATGCACTTGGTAAAAGGAGCTTTCCACTAACCATATACAGTGTATTTTTCGGATCAATTTTTTTGGCCATTGCCACCACCCACTTCCTTCCTCTCCAATTCATTGTTGTTGTCCTTGGCGGCTTAAGAACTGTCTGTGGAGTTTCTAACAGCTGATTGGTGGCACCTACACCTACAAACAGAGGGGAAATGCAAGGATTCTCCCCCCCACCCCTTAAAGAAAATAGATTATCTCCTGAAAGCAGTGGCAAGGGGCGCTTCCACCAATTGGCTCTTTACAGATTGGGAAGTATCCCTGATGTGCAAATAAAGCAGCAAAATCAGGACACGGGCGTCACAGGTGCTAATTTAAAGGAACCGTACAGGAGTTCAGAGGACCAGGCTCCCCATTTATGTGCACGAATCTTAACATTGGACGAAGCTAGTATCTCTCTGAAGGAAGACGTTAGTAGCAGAATAGCCAGTTTTTATTTCTAGCCTGTGAGGGATACCTGTGCGCACAGGCAAAGAGCAAGGGAGCCTGGCTCTGTTCCAGACCCAAGGAATCCCATTTGGTGGAATGCCTTTCTTTGAATTAGCACACCTATCAAAGTGATTCTCTCCCTCTCTTCCTCCCTCCATTCTTTCCTCCTATGTGAAATACATACTTGTAATAATCAGACACATATTTGGACATAATGGATGTAATCGAGTGAATACTTTAAGAAATGCTCTGCGGCAGAAGGTACAGTGTCAAGCTGAACAACGGGTCTACGTTTTAGGCGTCTGTACATTCAAAGAAACATAGTTGAGATTTTATATCAAAACTCTATGTTAACACCAAACAGTTGGTCTAAAGGATATACTTGGTTGGCGCTGTGTTTCGGGGCTTGTCAATGAGAAACTGGGCATCAGATGCCACAGTATGAGGAACAGGATGGAAAGTCAACTATCCCGCCCAGTGGCACCCCAAAGAGCAAAGGATGACCCTGGGGAGAATTTTTAAGAGAAAACGCCCCTCCCCCTCAACGGAGAGGGAGGGGGTGGGGAATGACTAGAGTTCAACAACCAACCCATTTACAAGTAACAGAAACCAGCACAACACTTAAGTTCACCATGTCTTGGTTCCAGTATTTATTATATCGACAAGTTAGGAATACTAGGATAAATAAGTAATATTTTCTCTTACAGAAAATTATAATGATACTATTGAACAGGATTAAACACTCTGAGGATTTCACAGAAACATCAGAATTTAAACAGACAGTAGCCAGAGTCCTGTGGCCAGTGTGAATGACCTCTCACAGCTATAAATGCTCTGGGCCAGATTTCTACACACATCCGCATGACAGACAATGCCACGAACATCCAATAATGCTAATGCCTGGGCATCACCTGGCTTCAAACTTGTCTCCACTGAATGTGGTTTTCAACTGCAAGAAAGGGAAAATGGAATATTCTTTGGCTTTTCTGGCCTAGAAATAACTCCTGACCTAAGTCACTGAGTGGAGAGTCCTAGCCCTTTGGAAGTTGGACTTCCTGCTTTCTTCCTGTGACATGATAACTGAGTTCGCGACAGAGGACCTGCAGGTCATGCCCATGAGTTTTGCGTTAATGCCTGGCTGCCACGGGAAAGGCGGCTTTCTCTGTTGACACAAAACTGCCCTGCTCGCCAGCAGAACTCTGTTCTCCCGGGGCGGACAAGCTCTTCTGGCCACCTCAACATTCTGTAAGACCCTGCCTATGGTGCTCGCCGCCCCCACACGCTCAGAAACCAGATCTGAGGAAAATCACACCGGGTGTTGTGCAAAACAAACATCAGGAGAGCACAATGCCTAGCTTTGACACAGACGCTTTGCACACAGTAATTCCGGTACATAATAGCATGTTTGCTAGAAAGCACAACCCTGGCCATTGTACAACGTTGTTAAATGCCGTTCTCCCTCTGTGTCCCCTGCGAGTGGCCGTGGCAGTGCAGGACGCGGCCCCACTCCACCCACCCAAGGTACAGACACTTCTTCAGCATGAGTCCTAATGGTGAGAGTCCTGGTTTTGGTAGAATCCAGGCAGAAGATGGGCAGGACCCTGAACAGGGGCCATCTGCAGCATCCAAGAATAGCCAGTAATGTTAAGGCCTAAATCCTGGCATTGAGGCAAAAAGATGCCCTTGTCCTGGTCCAAAGTCCACTCTGGTGCAGAGAGGAAAGGCCCAGCTGAGTCACCAAGGGCTCTTCCGCCTCGATGGTTCTTCACGGCTGGGATGCGAGAGGTGCACAGGAAGTCAGATCTCCAATGGCTTCAGGGTTTGGGATGTAGAAGGTTTCGATGAGGACTCCCCAGTTGCCCCCATACCGTGACTGCTTAGCTTTGCAATGTTCCTTCTTTTATCTGTTGGATAAAAAGGTTTCTCTCATCTTCTGGAGTCCGCCCATTCTGAGCCCGGACAATACACGTGGGCCGATGAAGGTTGAGCATGTATATCAAATGCTGCTTCTCGTTCTTGAGCTCCTCGATTTGGGCCTTCAGTTCGGCGTTCACGCTCTCCAGCTTCTCTGACTCCTGGGGAACAAGCAACAGAATTATTAGGAATGGAGCCAAGGTTCCAGTGCAGAGAGGCTGGCCTCGGGGTGGCAGTGGTCACACGTCATTGGGGTTCATGAGGCTGGGAATGGCCTGCAGAGAGGGAGTGCTTGGGCTCCTTGGGATGGCGTCCCCACAAAGCTGGGACAGCGGCATTAGGTCTGGGAGAATCCAGACCCTGGAGAAGCCTTTGAACTTGAAGGCTTCTTCAGAGATGCCCTTGAGTTTCCACCCAAGGTTGAGGGTGGGTTGTGACTGTCATGGCAATGAAAATGCAGTAGAACCAACGGCTCAGAGACATCCTTTGCATGAGTCCAGTAGCCCATGCACAGCCCCGCTGGACCTGCGAGGGCCTCGAGCGCTGGGAAGAAATGCAGACTCATGGTGCTCGGTCTTTCGTGAGTCACTGATTTCAGTGAGAAGTTCGTCTCCCCAGAAAAAATGTACATGGCAACACACAAAATGTCTCCATTTTCACTGCCTCCCTGAAGCAATCAACAGAATCCTTGGGGACCTGCAGAGCCTGGGCGGAGACTCTGCGCTGGCCTGTCCACACCTGGGGGAGAGGACACAGGCACGGAAGGACTGTGCCGCAGCCCGCCCCACCTGCCCAGGGATGCTCGTCCCACCTGCGCTTCTCCCTGCAGAAGGGGAGCTGGCGGAACATAGCAGGGAGCTCGGGCTATGGGATGAGCCGAGGAGAAGGGCGACAGAGTTAAGAACACACCAGAACGCAAAAAAAAAAAAAAAAAAAAAAAGAGTGTAACCACTGCTTGCAGATTAAGGAAATAACTTGTTTGAAGACATTAATTAAAGGCTTTTCATATTGAGCCAATTGAGAGCCGGCAGCTTCCTTCTCTCGGTAAAACAGGTGAGTGAACCTTCTTTAACCGGGCTGACATATCCTGCAGCCTGGAAGCTGCTGGACGTGTATGGACGGGCCAAGACTGCTGGGAATCTGGGCAGCAGACAATCTGTGGTTTTTAATTCACACACCTGCTTCTTCTACATCCAGAGTCCCCTTTGTGCTAACAGCTTTGTTCCCCCCTCCTGCAGCCACCAGCCTTCTGCTACCGGCTACATGTCCTTCTTGGGAAAAGACTTCTGGGCAGGGGGCTTTCTGACTCCCCTCGTGCTGGCAACATGAGGTTGGTCATGGGCAGGCATGAGCAGGAGGAGGGGGTGAGGCAGGGAGGACTCTCTTTCTTTCTTTCTTTCTTTTTAAAGATTTACTTGTTTATTTTGGAGACAGAGTGAGTTGGGGGGCAGAGGGCGAGAATCCTCAAGCCCACTCCCCACTCAGCCTGCCTCAATGCTTGATCGCACGACCCATGAGATCATGACCTGACCTAAAACTAAGAGTCGGACGCAGAACCGCCTACACCACCCAGGCGCCCCAGGGACGACTCACTTTCTGCAGGCACTCGGTCTTCTCCTTCTTTTTGTTGCGGCACTTGGCAGCTGCAATCTTATTTCTTTCCCGCCGCCTCTTTTTCCTTTCATCTTCTTCTGGGGCTACCTATAAAATTCAAGAGACTGCACACTTCATGGGAGGCAAAAAATGCAACCCACCTTAAATACACTGCCTTTCTTTGCAGCAAAACGGCAAACCAGGACAGCCCCCGGGTGAGGGGGGCTGACAAAGTCAAGTCCCAGCCTCCTGCATGACACCTCTCCATACGTACGCACGAACGAAGAATGCAAATCGAAGAATCGCTAGTTAAAGTACATTGGCAATACTAGTAAGTTAAAATCCAGCTTATTTAAAAAATGCATTTGGATTCTGAAATGAGTTGGATATTCATATTGATAACTATCAGTAACTCCTGTAATCATTTGGAGCAGGAAACAGATTCTGTTTCTTAGCTATGTCCTTTCCCCTGGATCCAGGAATGACCACAGGAACATCACCCAGCCACCTTTTCTCTTCTGCCTCTTCTTTGATTTGAGACCCAGGGGCACCCCCATTCACCTCTATCTTCACCCAGAGCATGGAAACACCTCCTTCATGAACTCAAAAGAAGCCCACGGAGCTCCTGGAAAAGAGGAACCCAAGCGCGTTCCCCAAACAAAGTGGCATTATCAGCCCAAGGCTTGGTGCCACCTGTGGGCGGTGAACACGAACCAACCAGTGATTCATCCAGCAAAGACCGATCTCTTCCTCTGCGCCCCACCCCGAGTCAGCTGTGGGGGTCCTCAGAGAACAAAACTCTGTCCTGCTTTAGGTTCTGGTCCTCTCTGGAAGTTGGCTCTGACCCTGACTTTGTCTCAGGACTGATGGGGAACCTGCAAAATTCAGCCACTGGGCTTGGCTCAGAGGCCTGAGGCCAGCTGGGATGAGGCACTCACGGGTGGGCTTGAGTGGGTGACGGTCTAGGCTGCTAATGTCAGACCTTGTCGTGTCACCTGTCCCTGCTCCGGACAGCAGGAAAGGGCCAGGGAGCCACACCTCAAACCAAAGAAATCCTGGGACACAACAGTCACCTCAGATCTGTCTTATTGCTCGTCCTTTGGATTCGACGACATTGACTTAGCTTGCGCTGAGACGGAAGGCCTCACAATTTAGAGAAACAAAGTCCAAGGGGAAAGCAGGGCAAGAGGCAGTTCTACCTTTTACATCCTGGACCCCAGGACCACACAGGCAGACATCTGAGTTTAAACTAAACTGGCTCTGAATCCCAGCTTCACCACCTATTAGCTGTGAGACCTTGGGCAAGTTACCATACTCTTCTGAACCTCAGTTTCCCTCACTTGTAAAATGGGATCAATAATCTTATCTACCCAATAGGGTTGGGAGGAGGGTCAAATTAGTTAAGTTAGATATATATATATATATATAATTAAAATGCTTTGCACAGTGTTTAGCATACAGTCAGCCTTAATAATGATAGTAAGTTACTATCATTATTAACCTCACCATTCTTCATCAAGAACCCAGTAACTGTAGTACTTCCTATACAACCCTACAGATATTTTTGGATGGGGGGAGAGGATTCGGGGTTTTCTCATACGAGGAAATACTTGAAAGTAGAGCAAATCTCAGAATTGTACACTGTCAGAGACAGAAAAGGCTTTCAAGAACCATTCAGTTCAAGCCCCTGACCATAGTGCTGTGGAAATGAGGTATGGAGGGGCCAGCAGCAGCACTTCCACAGAGGCCCAGGCATCACTAGCTCATGGTCACCAGACCCGCAGGCTATAAAGCCTGGGTGTAAACCCAGGCCTCTGGCTCCTCATCCTATGTCCTCTCTGGGACACACTGCCTCATTCTACTTTGTTGCCTTCCCAGAGGTGACTGGGACCTGGCGGAACAGGGTCCTGCTGCCCAAGTGCACAGGATGCCCATGGGTTTCATAGGCTCAGCATCCTATTTTAAGATAAGAATTACAGCAACCAAGGGAACCTGAATATTCAACGAGATTAGTTGGTGCATTCTCTTCCCAGTAAGAGAACCTACCTGTTAAACTGACCTAAGATCAGAAGGTCACTTAGTAAACACACAATCAGTGGATGAGTCTGGTGGCTCTAAGGAATATTTCCACAGATCAGGAAATATTCTGTCACCAGATGTCCTCTACATTGGACATCTGCTTCTTCCTCTGAAGAACCCTCCAAATACCCTTGCAAAATGCTTTTCTTTCTTCTATGGGGATCCTACTACTTCCCACTACATCCTGTTATCTCAGGGTATTTAGAGAATTTTTAGAAAATTCCTCGCGTGTCCCATGGCCCACCTTGCACTGTCCAGTACCGGACAAGGCAATGATGATGATGCTACCCCTTGACCAAAGACAGTGATCACAGCAGTTAAGTAAGCTTGATACACTCCCATCTTTTATCCATAAGGGAAAGGCCCAGAAAGTAGCCAAGACCTGCACTCTGAGGTCCTCGAGCCACCACTGCATGGCCAGCACCCAGCTCTCAGACCTCTCACCACGTCTGTTACTCCAGGCGTCTTATAAAAGGTTGCTTGATGGGGAGGAGGGCAAGTGTCGGAGACAAGTGAACTCGAAGCAGAAGCTGTTGCCAGGGCCATGAGCGAGGCTGGCTGGCCCTGGCTCCCCACACTGGCCGCCCGGGTCCTCGTCGTGATGAACACTGTCCCCACACTCTGAGCAGCGCCCTGCCTGGAGCACGCCTGGCCTGGTGGGTGTACGACGAAGAAGCACGTAAAGAACGGGCACCGCGAAGAGCACCTACCTCGGTTTTCGTGACTGCCATCTCCAGGGGGCTGCCGCTGACAGTGACTGACTCCAGTGCAGAGGACATCCGGTGACAGAGGTGCTTGTTCTGGATGGCGAACCTCAGCTCTTCCTTGACAAAGGGTGTCAGGTTAGCAAAATCCTCAAACACCAGTGACCCAGGAGGGGACAGGCAGGGGACGATGGCAGACGCACTGACTTCTGAGGCAGAGACCTGGCCTGGGTGTTGAAGCATCATTTTGCTGAAAGAAATATCGAGACCCAAACTACTTCAGGGACTTAGGGGCATGGGATCAAGTCTCCCCACATCTGCGGCCCCCAACACCACAGCTGTATCCCCCTCAGGCTTCTGTGTTGTTCTCGTTTTACACCATCCTTCTCTTGAGTAAAACAGGTTCTTAAAATACATAGCTCAGTGATGTGGATAAAATGCCTACTTGAAATTTATAAAGGGTGGCATTTCAGGCTAGAGATCAAGAAGCTATTAGTTTTGGCTGGTGTGCGTATATGCAAATGTAGCCTCAAACAGTCCTGAAAGAGGAAGAGCATTTAAAGAAAAAAAAAAATCAGTGAGACTTTTATGTAACCCCATTTTCAGTCTCTGTTTTGAAAAGAAACTTGGAAGGTATCTGAAATCAAGCTGAATGGATCTATCCGTGAATGGAAGTAAAAGCAAAGACTCAGGGACCCTTGGATTTAGCAAATAAATCTCTGAAACTTCTCCCTCAGGAAGTTGGATCCAAGTCAATGAGAATGAGGATAGTAACTGTAGCCAGCAGGTGTGTTTCTTCAGCCCAGCTTGGCAGGAGCTGGGGCTGAGGGGTGGGGTGGGGGATTCACATCACAAGGGACCAGTAGCCCCTTCTTTTTTTTTTTTTTTTTAGATTTTATTTATTTATTTGACAGAGAGAGACACATTGAGAGAAGAGCACAGGCAGGGGGAGTGGAGGGGGGAGAGGCAGGCTTCCCGCTGAGCGGGGAGCCCGATGCGGGGCTCGATCCCAGGACCCTGGGACCATGACCTGAGCCGAAGGCAGACGCTTAACGACTGAGCCACCCAGGCGCCCCGCCAGTAGCCCCTTCTTAAAAGGTTAAGCCCGCTGAAGCAAAAGACTTGAGAAAAGAAAAGCAAGGAACTAAGAATTTGGACCTCTCCTGGGGGTGTTGTTCAGCCCTGTGGTGTCTGGAAAGGCTGGGGCTGGGGACCGAGGGGAACCTGGGACTGGCTCCAGGACTGAGGAGCAGTGTGACCTAGGCTGAGTCTCAGTCTTCATCTGGCTAATGGCTGAGAGGTCCTGCAGCAGGGGACTGAGTGTCTTCACTGTTCCTGTACCCAGAGCTGGCCTGGCGCCTGGCACCAGCTGCTCCCAAGGCCTGCTGACCCCCGCAGACTGCCTCACTGAGTACATGAAAGGGGGAAAGAGGGGGTCAAATCAAATGGTCTCTGAAGTCTCATCTACCACTCTCGTTCTATAGCCCAGGGAGCCCAAAGGGACAATGAAAGGAAAGTGAAGGGTAGAAATCATAATAGTTCCACGGTTCCAATTTGGAAGAGCCCCCCATAAATCTCTGCCTGCCACACACTCCCTCCAGCAGCAGCCGTGTCCCCTCATCCTTGCAGTCAGTTGTCCAGGTATGAGGAGTATGGGGACGGTCTAGGCACACTGTGCCCTGGAGCGTCCTTCGCACTCTGGCTGCGTGCAGTCATTAGCCCAGTCTAGTCGACAGGAAGCCCTCTGGCAAGCGACTAACATTTAACGAGTGCCTCCTTCACACTAGAAACCTTACGTGCATTATCTCATTTAACCCTCACGAGAACCCAGTCAATTAGGTTCTAGCCCCCTTTCACAGATGAGGTAACTGAGGTTTAGACTAGTGTCCTAAACCTAAACCTCGTCCAAAGTCACAGAGTTAGTTAGTATGAAGCAGCCTCAGGATTTGGATTAAGTTTGACTCCAGAACTCATGCCCTGAACTTATAGAATATAAAATATTATTTACACTGCAAAAACAAAAATGCCAGAGCAAACCTTTCTTGCGGGGTAGGGATGGCAGGGGCTGGGTGGGGGACCTGGAACAGAAGTGGTGGAGAGGAGACTAAGCAAAGAGCCGGGGGAAACATGAACTCTGTGCAATGAACCGCTGATCTTTCTGTGTCAGCGTGCACACTCCGGCTGCTGCCTGCATTTCAGGAGTCATAAGTGGGTCTTTTATCCACAAAAATTCTTAGACTGGGGTCAGATGATCAAGATTTGAGGCCCACTTACTCATGTATCATCATCATACCTCCCAGTGCCTGTTTTCTCCTCTGTAAAAGAAGGCTAATGACAATCACCCATTTTTCCAGACTTGTGGAAGGAGTTGAGAAAGTAATAACATGAACAAGTCCTGGAAAATATAAAGCAACTGCGAGGCCTGCCCGGGGTTCCCTCCAGGCCGGCTGGCTCTGTGACAGATGCTCTGTGGGGTCCCAGTGGCAGGGTGGCTGGTCACTCTCTGTGATCTCAAACACTTTGGAATAGATCACCCTGACCTCTCAACTGACTCCCCCTTAAGGTCTGAAATACACTGATGGAGGCAAGAATGCCAGGCCAACCCACGCCACCACTGGGTGTTCAAAGAAATCTGGGAAACGTCTGTAATTCTCTTCCCAAAGCCCTGTGTCGTGAGCCAGAACCGAGGTTCTTCTATCAATTTAATCCTATCGTCTTCAGATGTGGGGAGGATACTTCTCTGGCAGGCTTTTAAACTCTGAGAAACCAGCCTTCTGAAGCCCGAGGCTTACGATTCTCCCATGCATTCATGTTTTCTCTCCCTTAACCAACTTGATTAAAAACCCAGTAGTTCAGGGATGGAATTCAGAGCTACCACTGGCCTGGCCTTTGTTTGGATGACTGGATGGCTCTCCTCTACCTGGGTAGTTTGAATTCCACCAGTGTTGAGTGTAGTTCTGTTTCACCCCCCCAGCTAAGTTTATTAATGACCTCTCAGGGCTTGGTTTTTTTCCTTCTTAGTTTAAAGTCAGCTGTTCCAGTGAGAGAAACAAGAATGTCAGTGGTATGGAATGTTTTTATGACAAGCATTGGGTGGGCTTACTTGGGGATGGAAACGGGTTGTAAAAATGCTAAAAAGCCTTTCAGAAAGGAAAGCAGTTGCATCTGTAGAGATTTGAGTTTTCTCTGCATTCTGCTACAGCTTAATTTCTTGAGATACTTTCTGGTTACTTCTTGACTCATTCTCTTAAGGTCTGATTCAGCCCAGACTCAGGCTGTGTCCCTACAAGGAAAATGAAGTTAAATCTTCAGACAACTTTTCTCAAAGTTGAGACCCGCCAACATTCCCCCTCGTTGAAGAATAAAAAAATCTGTTTGGGGATTTTCTGAGTTGGCTTTCTACACTGATCTTAAAATTGTCCAGACTTGCTACAAAGAACCTGCATTTTGCTTTTGCTTCATTATCTCCAATCAGAAACCATGTCATATCTTTGGCGGTTTCATCATTTTCAAGAAAGTGAAACTTCACTCGTGTATTTCTTTAACTGGAAATTCAACTCCCAGATTTTATTTCCTAGTAGCTACAACTAAGTTGAATTTTCACTTTTAGTTTTCATCTCTTCACCCTAAGTGCTGCTCGTAAAACATCTCACAGTATACGAAGCCAATACTGGTCTTTCACTAACTTCCTATATTGGTCTTTTTCCAGGCCTATCTAAAAATCGTTGGTGTAATGCTGGGGCTTCCGGAACAGGCCCATCACTACCACTCACAAGCTGAGCCCCCATTGACAACCCTCTCACGCCTTCTGGGCCTCAGTCTATCTGTAAAATGAGACCAATATTGCCTGCCCCCATTCCCTCACAGGGTGGTCAAGATCATACAAGAGTCACAATGGTGGATTTATACACAGGCTGGATAGCCATTATTACGGTGATTCCACTTTCCCCATTTCAGGGGAACTCAAAATGTTGTTGTCAATGCAAGTTAGCCCCATTAATCAGGAATTAACTGGAACCCTAATGAAATTCAGGTCATTCACAGCTTCTTTTGCACTTTGGTTGACCCTGGGCTCCCAACACACCAGGTCAATTCTACCCCACTATATATTTGCTGGCAAAAGCTTGTTTCCACTGCTCTTACGTACTTGAGAAATAACCAGTTCTCACACATGAAACCATTTCTAGTTTCTCAGGTGTCCTGGCTATGTACTTCCTCCTTCCTAGGCTGGGTAACACTTAGAATCACTGACCCTGTTCCATGCCCAGCCAACTGAAAAGAGAAGAAATCATGGGCTCTATATAATGGGATAGAACGCCCGATATTAGAGGCACGTAAGTCAGATCTTCATTTTGCCATTAACATGAGATCCAGGAAGGTAGTGACTTGCCCAAGGCCATAAAGCTGGTCAGTGGCCCAGCCCTCGCCAAGCTGTTGACCTCTCACCCACTGCTCATTTTGCTTCATCATCAACAGAGATCCAACACGGATAGGACAAACCAATAAGGCAAATGGAAAATAGAGGGAGATGAGGGGTTAGCAGTCTTAGTAACCTGGTATCCACCACAGAGGAGGCTTTGACAGGATTGAGACAGGGAGGGAGTACAGAAGAAAGAGAACAATGGAGAGAAAGAGCCAAGAGGGAGACGGGGGTTGGGGGGGCGGTTAAGATAGAAAGGATGGGAAGGCTCCAACAGCTGCCACAGGTGCTGGGTGTTATACCCTATCCACACTGTCAGCCTGGAGTGTTACCTGTCACGTCTCTGAAACCATCCAGATGATAACCACAAACCCCTCTGCCACCCCGGTGTTTGTCCAGGATATCCTCAAAGCAAGAGTTTATATGGTGTAGAATTATTCTATACCAAATACTAAATACAAAACAAGAAGGGCAGTAATAACAATTTCTCCTTCATTTAAAGATGGGGAGCTCCCCCCGCCCCCAGCAGGTGGGATTGTCACCCACACACAAATAGGTGCACTGGGGGAGACCACCCGAATGTTCTACCCCGCATTTCCTCACCCCTGGCTCCATCAAGGGTTTAGCAACACCTCTATTTGTAAGGATGTATATGTGATCTCGGTAATAAAATTAGGGAAAAGAAAATGGTTAGGAGGAAAGAAAGTAAGTAGATGAAATGAAAATGGGGTGTGCGGGAGCAGAGAAGGAGAACCATGCAATGGAAAGAACGTTAGGAAGGGAAGACATGCCCCATAGAGAAGTCCCTTCCCCTTCATTGCCTCCGAAGCTGGTCAGTGACATTAGACAGAGACCCCCCCACTCAAGTCATTCACGTCTCCTCACCGGCCCCCTTTCCTTCAGTTACATCGCCCTGGAATCTGAAAAACTTCTTCCAGAGAGGACCTTAATGGTTATCGGGTCCAACCACCACCTGGTGCTTCCAAACAGGCAGAGGCAGCCAGCACGGGCCCTGTGCGCCCACTTTTCTCACTTGGGGAAACTGAGGCTCGAAGACACGAAGCTCAGTATAAGCTCTCAGGGTCCCGGCCACTAGACCACAAAGGCATTCTCTCAATTATCTACACTGGATTCGTACCCTTGCTTCCTCCAAGGTGGGTCTCCGTAGACGAAAGGCAGAGAAACCCGCGGACCCGCCGGAGGAAGAGTCACAGGTACGCGAGAAAAGCGTGTGAGAGCCTTGGGACAAGAAGTCTCCCGCCCAGGGGTTGGACACCAGCCTGTGCCAGGAGCCCTCTCCTCCGTCCGTCCCAGGACAGCAACACGAGCGCTCGCCACCTCGAAACTCATCCCAACTAACTTTCGCTCCAGGCTCCCGCGCGGTCCCGCGGCGCAGCGCTCCAGGGTGCGCAGGGCGACCCCCAGCGGCCGCGCCCGCGACCCCCGCTCGCCCGTCCCTTTCCCATTCATTCGGTCCGGCTCCTGAGGCAGCCCTTCCGCCGGCACCCGGCCTCGGTGCCTCTCCGCGGGGCCCGGGAAGGCTGGGCTTGGCAACAGCGGTGCCCCGGGACGAAGCGAAGGATGAGCGGGACAGCGAGCCGGAGAGCCTCGGCCACCCCCGCGCACCCGCCTCCCCACGCCCGCTCCAGGAGAGGTGAGCAGGTGCCCAGGGCGGAGAGGAGCAGGGCTCCGAAGCCGGCGGAGGAGCCGGAGCCCGCCCTCTCCGTCACCGGGACCCTTTCGCGCCCCAAATCAAAAGAGAAAGTTCTTTGCGAGAAACTTTCCGAAGCGCTGAGGAGCAGCTTTGGCTGGGAGAAGTTCGGCCAGAGTTCTTTCGCAGCCGGAGGCTGGGCGCGCGGATCGGGGACGGGCGCAGGGGTCGCGGGACTGGTTATTAGAGGGGCGCAAAGGGAATGAAAGCGGGCCACCCTCGCCGCGCTCACTCACTCGGTTCCGGCGCTCACCTCCGGTCTCCACTCCCGTAGGCCAGGGTCCAGAGGGCGGGCGGGGTCGGGGCGGGGTCGGGCTGTCTGTCTGGGGGGCGGACGGGCGAGCCCCGAGGACGCACGGCCGGCGCGCGGGCTGGCGGGCGAGTCGGCTCGGGTTCGGGCGGCTGCGCCGGGACAGCGTTGGGCACTGCGCGCCTCGCTGCGTGCGACTGTGGCTCAGAGCGCGTTGCATCACCCCTTTTATAGCCCTCTGGCTGGCGTCGAGCCAGTTTACTCCGGGTTACGAGTCCCAGGCTGACGTAATGCTATTAATAACTTCCCCCGAGAACCAGCCGAACTAGGCTGGGCAAGGAGGAGGGATGGAGGAGGGGCCAAAGGGGGAAGCGAAGCGGGGGGGGGAACTGGTGATGCAAGCTCGGGGAGGAGCCGGTCGAGCGGCGCTCCCCCGGCCTCTTGCTCTCGGACACACACCCGCCCGCCCTCTCTCTCCATATCAGGACCGGAGCCGTCCGGGCGGGCAGCCAGATGTGCGTACTCGCCGCTGCGTGTTCCAGGCATGAGCCAATGGTGCCCAAGCCAGCGGCATGACTCCACTGCGCTGGCATCTCTCCCTCCGCTAGATTGGGGGAGGGGGAAAGATGGAGGGGCGGGGCCTGGCCGCAGCCCAAAGTAGGTGAGGCTGGGAAGCGGGCACGACCTTTCTCTAAAATGCGTGGTCATTTTCTGGAGCCCCTTCCCCCGCCAAACGCCGCCTTCTCCAGTTGGGGGCAGAGTAGGGTCAGAAGCGGTAGTCCCCGCTGTGGGGAGGTGCCAAAAGGACTCCTGCGTGAACCCATGCAGTTACCCGCCGGGGGTGACCTCCGCGGCTTGGCCCGCGAGAAGTCCGCGCGTTAACCCAATCGCGGAGGGCAGCGCTCGGCGGGCACGGTGCGTCCTAGCCCGCAGCCCAGGCACACCCCGCACGAGCGCACAAGCGGAGCCGTCTCCCGGCCGGCGGGGAGCGCGTCTCCGAGGCCAGGGCAGGTGCTAGGACCGTGCGGATTAGGATTTTTTAACAACCACAAAGAGTTTGAAATTGACGGGCAGTTTCTCAGTGAAACGAACACAACCTGGAAAGATGAGAGGAGCTGTAAAATCAGAGGCAACTTGGGCGCTAAGAGTGGGGCTGAAACCGAGCGGCCAGGGCGAGGAGGAAAGAGAAGGTGCTTTGATCCCCGCGGGCCAGGCGGAGGGAGGTCGCCACCCTATCTTAGGCTACGTCTAGGGAAAACCCATCTTCGCCTTTCACGTGTTTTTCTGCCCCCAGAGCCGAATTGGAAGGGACAGGACGGCGGGGAGTGGGGGCTCACTGACGGCAGCCGAAATGAGGCCCCGTAGCAGAAATCCCTTCGCCCCTCAAGCCCGGCTGTCGGGAAAGGTTGGGACCTATGGCCGCAGATACTAGCTGGAGCTTCAGCAGAACTAGATTTGAACCTTAAAAACGATTTCCGGGTTCCGATTCCTCGACCCCAGCTGTCTGGGCTTCGCGAGTGGCAGAACCAGGGACCTTCTCAACTGCCCAAGGACGAATATACGTGGACGCGAGTGTGGCTCGCGAAGTTTCGAACCTGCCCGGGAGGGGAGGGGGCCCGCGCGCGCCGGTGGGGTGCAGGGGGCACGGTTAGGGGCAGAAACCCCTGCTTCCACCTGCCTCTTGGGAGAGGCGATCGAAGGTCATAGTTTGGTAATTTGAGGTAAGAACTAGAAGGGTTCTGGAGCCCGGGCTTCACCGGCAGCCACACACCCCGCACCTGCACCCCTAACCTGTTACAGTCGGCACTGATGGAGGGG